TATCTCTTATCTTTGAGATAATGAAGAGACAACTTTTAACTAGACAAAAGAGTTTTAATATTGGAATTTCTTGAGCAGAATTATCTGCAAACTAATCCTAAAACATGGCCCTTAAATTCAAGCTAAGCGTACTGCAGTTTCTATAGTTATAGTCAGTATACTAAGGGTTACACTGAATATAAAAGAACATGAAAGAGATGGTACTTCATGGCATGCAGTGTACTATGATAAAATGTCTTTCATGAAGATTGGTTCTTTAGGAATCAGATATCTAGCTATTGTTTGCACTGTCCAGCTAGAATTCTTTTATATTACCAACATAGGTGCCTTTCTCTTACCTAATAAAGAGTACAAGGAAGCCTTAGATCAACATCAGGTATAAAAAGAAAGATACAGTACTTTGGACCAAAGCATGATACACTATAATAACAAATAAAATTACAATACCTTGGAAAGGCAGGCTGAAATACATGAAATGTTAATCTGGCAACAGAAAGAAATACAAAATACATATGGAATACAGGATCAGTATTTAACCCCATTAAATGCTTCCAGAACTCTTTAACAACACATTTTTTTCTGGATCTGTATAGGTGTTTTTATATTGTTTACTGTAATTAACCACTTTCCTGCTGCCCTATAGCAGAAATACTGCTACAGGGTGGCGCAAAATCACGTATATACAGTTGTGTTCAAAATAATAGCAGTGTGTTGAAAAAAGTGAATAAAGCTCAAGATCCTTCTAATAGCTTTTATTTCCATACACACAAATGCATTGGAAACACTATACATTCTATTATCCAAATCAAAACATGAAGAAAAATATATCAAATTTGTGTTGTTCCTCTAAAAAAATTGAAGAAAAGTGAATATTAGACTGTTCAAAAAAATAGCAGTGTTTGTATTCTTCTTTACAAACTCAAACATTCACTATATAAACTGAAAAATGTTTGAAGATTTTGCTTTCCTTTGAATCACTTAATTAATATTTAGTTGTATAAGCACTGTTTCTGAGAACTGCTGTACATCTGTGTTGCATGGAGTCAACCAACTTCTGGCACCTGTGAACAGGTATTCCAGCCCAGGATGATTGGACTACATTCCACAGTTCTTCTCTATTTCTTGGTTTTGCCTCAGAAACTGCATTTTTGATGTCACCCCACAAGTTTTCTATTGGATTAAGATCCGGGGATTGGGCTGGCCACTCCATAACGTCAATCTTGTTGGTCTAGAACCAAGATGTTGCACGTTTACTGGTGTGTTTGGGGTCGTTGTCTTGTTGGAACACCCATTTCAAGGGCATTTCCTCTTCAGCTTAAGGCAGCATGACCTCTTCATGTATTCTGATGTATTCAAACTGATCCATGATCCCTGGTATGCGATAAATAGGCCCAACACCGTAGTATGAGAAACATCTCCATATCATGATGCTTGCGCAACCATGCTTCACTGTCTTCACAGTGTACTGTGGCTTGAATTCAGTGTTTGGGGGTCGTCTGACAAACTGTCTCCGGCCACTAGACCCAAAAAGAACAATCTTACTTTCATCAGTCCACAAAATGTTGCGCCATTTCTCTTTAGGCCAGTCAATGTGCTCTTTGGCAACTTGTAACCTCTTCAGCACATGTCTTTTTTCCAACAGTGGGACTTTGCTGGGGCTTCTTGCAGATAGCTTGGCTTCACATAGGCGTCTTCTAATTGTAACAGTACTCACAGGGAACTTTACACCTTCTTTGATCTTCCTGGAGCTGATTGTTGGCTGAGTCCTTGCCATTTTGGCTATTCTTCTATCCATTCGAATGGTAGTTTTTAACTTTTTTCCACGTCTTTCAGGTTTTGGTTGCCATTTTAAAGCATTTGCGATCATTTTAGCTGAGCAGCCTATCATTTTCTGCACTTCTTTATATGTTTTCCCCTTTCCAATCAACTTTTTAATCAAGGTACGCTGTTCTTCTGAACAATGTCTGGAACGACCCATTTTCCTCAGAATTTCAGAGAGAAATGCACTGTAACCAGCATGTACAAAATTTGCTGCCTTCCTTCCTTAAATAAGGGCAATAATTGCCACCTGTTTTTCAAAGAATGAATGACCTCACTAATAGAACTCCACACTGCTATTATTTTGAACATGCCCCTTTCAATTAGTGATTCAATTACACAGAATCAGCAGCATGCATGTCATGACTGTTGGGTCTGTTGGATTTCTATTACTCTACTGCACCTGCTAGTAAATTATTTGCCATGTAGAAATATCATTTCTACCAAAAACAGTGATTGATCAGGTTAGTGATGTCTGACTGCTATTATTTTGAACACAACTGTATATGTGATTTTGCACTTCCAGGTAGGGGGCGTGCCCTACCCGTACCGCTATTCTCTCGGCCTCAGCTGTCAATCATTGGGTCCCGGCTGGTGATTACTCGCTGGCACCCGATGATCGCCAAGCATTACAGACGGAGGGAGAGAAACTGTATGTAAACAATACAGTTTACATACAGCTGTATGCTTACAGTGAAGAACACACACAGCTTACAATAAAACAGCACACAGTTAACCCTTTGATCACCACACGTGTTAACCCCTTCCTGCCCAGTGCCATTAGTACAGTGTCAGTGCTTTTTATTAGTACTAATCACTGTATTGGTGTCTCTGGGGATGTCAGTGACACCAAGTCATTTCCCCCCAGTGTCAGAATGCCTGCTGCAGTCCCGCTATAGGTCGCTTATCGCCGCCATTACTAGTAAAAAAAAAAAAATCCCAGTATATATACCACCATTTATAAACGCTATAACTTTCACGTAGACCAATTAATTTACATGTATTGGGATTTTTTTTTAGCGAAAGCCATGCAGCAGAATACATTTTGGCCTAAATTTATGCTGAATTAGATTTTTTACATTTTTGTACTGGACATGTTTTATAGCAAAAAGTTAATAATATTGTTTTTTTCTCGAAATTGTTATCCTTTTTTCTTATAGCACAAAAAATAAAAAATGCACAGGTGAACAAATACCACAAAAAGAAAGCTCTATTCATGAGCAAAAAAGGACATAAATTTCATTTTGGTGCAGCGTTGCATGACCGCTCATTTGTAAGTTAAAGTAGCACAGCGCCGTAACGCAAAAAATGGCCTGGTCGGGAAGGGATGTAAATCCTCTGGAGGGCAAGTGGTTAAAGTAGTTTTAAATCCAATCCATAAAATATATAAACTTTGAAATGTTGATGTCATTTCAAAATTTGTTTACAATATTTTTATAATTGTAGATTTTATTACCAGCCTGTAATAATTCTTCATTACCGGATCATTTATCAGTTTTCAGCACTTTGATAGTTTGACTGACAATTACTTGGTCAAGAAACACTGCACCCAAAATATTTTATACCTTTTTTTTTTAGACAGATGACGTGTACTTTGGTTGTATTTATTACACACTGTGTTTTTAAATTTTTTTTTAAGTAGTTGTAAACCTCAGATATGAAATATGAACTAAGCATATCCCTCTATAGTGTGTACTTGTTTCAACTAAGACCGCTAAGTATTATTTCTGTCTGATGCTTCATTCCTTTGCTATCAGCATGAATCACTTCTGACAGGTTTTCCTGACACCGACAGAAAAACGATGACATGGGAGGGACCACCAAAAGACAGTCTCTGCTTTGTTCCTGTGAGCTGTGTGGAGGGGGGTGTTTCTTCCCTCCAATCAGCTCTCAGAGCTCTCCTCACTGAGCTCTGCAGAGTTTAATTTCAGCTCTCCATCCTATCCAGCCACCTTTTTTCTGAAATCTCAGCCAAGCTTTATAAATTCAGCACTTTGTGCAGATGTAGAGAAGAGAAGACTGCAGATAGGCAGGAACAACTTATGTAGGATTATGTGTTTCATCTCTGTGTATCACCTGAGGCCAGTCACTTCACTAAGTATATGTGAAGGTTTGCAACCATTTTATTAAAAAAAGAAAAAAATCATCTTCCTTACTTTCTGTTAATTTACAAATGCTAGAACAGTATGAGAACCCCCCAAAATTACCCCATTTTGTAAAGTAGACAACCAAAGGGGATCCCATTTTTTGCCACAATTTTTTGAAAATGAGGAAACATATTGGTATTTAGGAATTAAAACATAGAGCATGGTAATGGTGCACTTGATACCTTAACCACTTGCCTACCGGGCACTTATACCCCCTTATTTACCAGGCCAATTTTCAGCTTTCAGGGCTGTCGCACTTTGATTGTCAATTGCGCGGTCATGCAAGAATTTCTCACAAATAGAGCTTTCTTTTGGTGGTATTTAATCGCTGCTGGGCACTTTACTTTTTGTGCTATAAGCCTCAGTGCAGATGTAGAGAAGAGAAGACTGCAGATAGGCAGGAACAACTTATGTAGGATTATGTGTTTCATCTCTGTGTATCACCTGAGGCCAGTCACTTCACTAAGTATATGTGAAGGTTTGCAACCATTTTATTAAAAAAAGAAAAAAATCATCTTCCTTACTTTCTGTTAATTTACAAATGCTAGAACAGTATGAGAACCCCCCAAAATTACCCCATTTTGTAAAGTAGACAACCAAAGGGGATCCCATTTTTTGCCACAATTTTTTGAAAATGAGGAAACATATTGGTATTTAGGAATTAAAACATAGAGCATGGTAATGGTGCACTTGATACCTTAACCACTTGCCTACCGGGCACTTATACCCCCTTATTTACCAGGCCAATTTTCAGCTTTCAGGGCTGTCGCACTTTGATTGTCAATTGCGCGGTCATGCAAGAATTTCTCACAAATAGAGCTTTCTTTTGGTGGTATTTAATCGCTGCTGGGCACTTTACTTTTTGTGCTATAAGCAAAAAAATTGCAAATAAATTTGAAAAAAAAAATAAAAGTTTCTTTGTTTCTATTATAAAATTTTTCAAACAGGTAGTTTTTCTCCTTCACTGATGTGCGTTGATGAGGCAGCACTGATGGGCACTGATAGGCGGCACTGATAGGCAGCACTGAAGGGCACTGATAGGCGGCACAGATAGGCGGCACTAATGAGGTGGCACGGATAGGCAGCACTGATAGGCAGCACTAATGAGGTGTCACAGATAGGTGGCACTGATATGCGGCACTGATAGGCGACACTGATAATGGGTACTGATAGAAAGCACTGATAGGTGGCACTGACTGACATCACTGCTGGGCACTGACTGGCGGCACTGCTGGGCACTGACTGGCACAACCGCTGGGCACTGACTGGTGGCACTGACTGGCAGCACTGCTGGGCTGCACTGATGGGCACTGGTGGGTGGCACTGGTGGGCACAGGTGGGTGGTGGGCACAGGTGGGTGGTGGGCACAGGTGGGTGGCACTACTGGGCACAGGTAGGTGGCACTTCTTGGCACAGGTGGTGACACTGCTGGGTGGCACAGGTGGACGCACTGCTGGGCACAGGTGGGTGCATTGCTGGGCACAGGTGGGCGCACTGCTGGACACAGGTGGGCGGAACTTGTGTGTGGCACTGCTGGGCACCGATCATCAGGGCACTGATGATCAGTGACCCTGATGATTAGTGCCAATCCCCGCTCTGACAACTGCCGGTTTTCGGCAGTACTTTCCTCACGATCTGACAGCGTGAGGAAAGTGCAGCCAAGAACCGGCATTTGCATGTCATTGGACATGGCTGATCACGTGGTAAAAGGCCGCTGTGATTGGCCTTTTACCACGCCACGTGATCAGCTGTGTCCGTAGGACACAGCGATCACGGAGATCGCCCGGTGCGCGCGCAGGAGAGCGCGTTCTGGGAAGACGTCATATGACGTCCACCCAGAACTGGCCGGCCGCAGTGCAGCCGTCATTCGGCTATCTGCGGTCGGCAAGTAGTTAATGAACAGGTTACATACAGAGGGAGGATGATGATGAAGGGGTAAATGTGCAACTGTACCGGATAAGTGAGATGTGTAGGAGACAAGAGGGACATGAACAGGTTAGAAAATTCCAGGGTCAGTTAAATTAAATACGTGGATCAGCAGCTGCTTCTGCAGATCAATTAATTAAATATTTTCCCCATGCATTACTCACTAGGATTCCTCTCCTTCCCATTTTTTTTGAGGAAGGATATTCAATGTAAACAATAGCATGTAATTATTGTGACTAGCTTATGATGGCTCGGTATACAGCAATTAGCACCTGGAACCGTTGGCCAGCTTCTCTGCAACACTCTTCAGTGAAAGGGGTCCTTGTCCAGTCCAGATTTCTGAGGTAGTGTCCTCCAGCATATTCTCCTTAATTCATGTTTATGCAAACCCTCAGCCAAGCACATGCTGTGGCCTGATAACAACAGTTCTTCAGTAACACAGACTGCATTCCAGGGCAGAGGCCCCAGTAGAGAGAGCTCTGATCAGACCCTCCCAAACATTTATCTTCCCACCAGCCACACCTTCTGGGCCTACCCCCCAGGGATTAGCTGAGGTCAAATAAATATTCATAACCCAGTGGCTAAAATCCTCCTACTCTATTTCTCAAGGCCTCTTCCAGAGACAGGCATGAACAACCCACCACCAGGCTTAGGGAGATCTGACCAGACCTAGAAAATAAATTGCTGCTCAAATGGGTTGAGCCAAAAACTAAATTTATCCAGCCTAAGGCAGGGTTCTACACAGCAATTATAAAGCACCTCATATCTAGATATTATTTACTTGTAAAACAAAATATTAGTTGGTTGTGTGCTATGTGGTAAATTATTTTTATTTCAGAGATACATGCATGAAATGTTTTGTCAAATGAGCAAGTATTTGACTGATAGAGACGGGATGTAAGGGAATTCCCGTGAGATAGCTGGCGAATAGACGTGCACATGCACACAGAAATGCACAATCACGCACATGCACAGCAAAGATTGGCGCCAGACGGACTATTTAAAAGGTGCCTCTGCCTGTGGTGAGAGCTGACTGGTCTTCAGCTGTTCCCAATTCCCTGCTCGTTCCTATGTGATTTCCTTATTGCTGACCCGGCTTGTTCCTGACCTGACTCGGATTACTCTCCTGCTTGATACTGGTTCCTGACTTCGGCTCTGCTCCTGACTTTGGCTTGCTTCTGATTTGTTACCTCGCTGTCCGCCCGTTGATGACCCTGGCTATTTCTTTGACACTGCTCCTGTCTCCCATCCCAGCTTCCAACCTTGCTCTGGTGCACACCTGGTGATCTACCATACCAGCTCTGCATATTACTACTGTGCCTGAAGCCGAGGTTCATCAGTCTTCCAAGGTCACCAACCGCAAGAGCTGCAAACAACATCTACTGGCGCTCTTGTCCCCCTGGTCCCTATACACCCTCTGTTCCACCTCCAGTGGGGTCAGGGCTAGTGACACAGTTGAGGCCGACCTCGTCATTTCAGTCTCCTATCAGGTACGTGACACGGGAGCAGCAGTAGAAGCCAATCAGATGTACTGCACCTGTAAAAATTTACATGCAGGAGGAGAGAAAAGCAAAATGACATCATCAGTCTGTTTTTGCTCCTTTACTGTGCAATCTTAGGTACATATAGGTCTCATCTATCCACTCCAGACCTTTCTGGGGTGAAATGTTTTGAAGCTGGAGATGGACAGGCAAGACTACATTTTGTGAATCCTCTACTATTAAAGATGGTTTTAAATGGTGACAGCATCAGTGTGAGGTCCATTCATACCTACTTAACAAGAAGAACAGTTGAGTGGGGATGCTCTCCTGGGTGTGCATCTCGTAAGAGCTTGAGGTACAGGGAAAAAGGCAATTATGGAGAGGCATGGCCACTATTAATCTTTGAACCAGTACCATACACATCATGGAATATGAATATCTGTATTTTTCCTGTGATGAATGTTAGGACATGGGAAAATATAAAATGGGGGGATCTCCCATTCAAAATCATAGGCCTTGCATTGTCCCAGGTGTGGTATTTAACCCCTTCACGTCGAGCTCACACATACTGTATATGCGGCCCCACTGGACTGGGCTTTACTCTGTGGGCGTATCTGTCTTTATGATGGGAGCGCGTTGCATGGGGTGCTCCCATCACAGACACCGAGGTCTCACCAGGAGCCCCGGGTCCTTTACTAACAATCATTACCTGGAACTCCGGTTCTGGGTCACCTGATCGCTGTGGTAGCCTGTGATTAGCTATCATAGTGGTCAGTCACTGTGAAGCCCACACCCATGTTTTATCTCTTTCTGAATGGAGGAGAGAGATACATTGAGAAAAAAACCACTGTGTGTAAAAAAAAATTGCCTAGATCAAGGTTAAATTTACATCATTTCCATGGTTAGTGATTGGGTCAAGGTCAAAGGTCAGGGTCAGTATTTTTTTGGGAAGGATTTAAAACATTTTTTTAATTAGTATCAGTGTCAGTTAGCCAGTGTGTTTTACTGTAGGTAAGATAAAAAAAAAGCAAAATGCGCACTATTGTTTCTGGGCTGTACTATGGGTACATACAACTAACATACACATACAGTAGGGAAGATAATTATTTGATCCCCTGCAGATATTGTAAGTTTGCCCACTTACAAAGAAATGAATGGTCTATCATTTTTATCATAGGTGTATTTTGAATGATAGAGACAGAATAATCAACCAAAAATCCAGAAAAAATCATGATACAAATGTTATAAATTGAGCTGCTGTTCAGTGAGTAAAATAAGTATTTGATCTCAAGCAAAACATGACTTAGTACTTGGTGGAGAAACCCTTGTTGGCAAGCACAGAGGTAAGACGTGTCTTGTAGTTGGTTACCAGGTTTGCACACATCTCAGGAGGGATTTTTGTCCAGATTTAGATCCAGCTCAAAATCCTTTGGGTTTCTTGTCTGTCACTTGACAACTCAAAGTTTCAGATCCCTCCATAAAGTTGCTATAGGATTAAGGTCTGGAGACTGGCTAGGCCACTCCATGACCTTAATGTGCTTCTTCTTGAGCCTTAGTTGCCATGGTGGAATGTTTTGGGTCATTGTCATGCTGGAAGACCCATCCACGACCCATCTTCAGTGTTCTGGCTAAGGGAAGAAGGTTCTCATCTAAGATTTTATAATACATCGCCCTTCAATGCAGCAAAGTTGGCCTGTACCTTTAGCAGAGAAACAGCCCCAAAGCATAATGTTTCCACCTCCGTGCCTGACTATAGGGATGGTGTTCTTAGGGTGATAGTCAACATTTTCCTTCCTCCAAACATCACAAGTCGAGTTAATGCCAAAGAGCTCAGTTTTGGTCTCATCAGACCACAGCACTTTCCCCCAATCCTTCTCTGAATCATGTAGATCAGGGGTGTCAAAATGGTGGCCCTCCAGCTGTTGCAAAACTACAAGTCCCATCATGCCTCAGCCTTTGGGATTCATGCTTGTAACTGTCAATCTTGCAATGCCTCATGGGACTTGTAGTTTGGCAACAGATGTTCATTGGCAAACTTCAGATGGTCCTGTAAATGTGCCTTCTTGAGGAGGGGGGACCTTGCAGGCGCTGCGTATTGTATTACCAATAGTTTGTTTGGTGACTGTGGTTCCAACTGTCTTGAGATCATTCACAAGCTCCTCTCATGTAGTTCTGGGCTGATCCCTCACTTTTCTCATAATCATCCTTACCCCATGAGGCAAAATCTTTCATGGAGCTCCAGTCTGAAGGCGGTTGATGGTTATTTTGTATTTCCTCAATTTGCAAAAAAGCGCTCCAACAATTGTCTCCTTCTCACCAAGCTTCTTGCTGATGGTCTTGTAGCCCATTCTAGCCTTGTGCAGGTCTACAATCTTGTCCCTGATGTCGTTTGACAGCTTTTTGGTCTTGCCCATGGTGGTGAGGTTTGAATGGAAGAAAGGTTCTGTGCACAGGTGTCTTTTATAGACATAACAAGTTGTCGTTAGCAGCACCTTCTTAAATTGAAAAGACTAATCTATGTACCACATAGCCAGTCTGTAGGAGCCAGAATTATTGTTGGTTGGTAGGTGATCAAATACTTGTTTTACTCACAAAACTGCAGCTCAATTTATAATATTTTTATCATGTGGTTTTTTTCTGGATTTGTGGTTGATATCCTGTCTCTATCATTTAAAATGCACTTATGATAAAAATGATAGACCATTAATTTCTTTGTAAGTGGGCAAACTTATAAAAAATATTTATTTTCCCCATTGTATGTGGTATTGCTGCAATTGTCAGGAGCAGGAGAATTTATTTTGGGTTGATTTTGGTAGTAGGTTATGGTAGTAGCAAGAAATATACAGCTACATTTCAAAAACCTATTTTAAAAACAAATTTTCTGTCAGGTTTGCTTTGATAATAAAATAAAAATCAAAAGATAGCCATTACCATTTACCATCAAATGAAAGCCCACTTTGTCCTGAAAAAAGTAAGGTATAATCCACCTGGATGCACAAAGTAGTTGTGATGATATATACAGTTTTACTAACACATGTTATGTTGCAAAATTGTGCTTAGGCATTAACCACTTGCCCTCCAGAGGATTTACCCCCCTTCCTGACCGGGACATTTTTTGCGATATGGCTCTGTGTTACTTTAACTGACAATTGTGCGATCATGCAAAGCTGCACCTAAATGAAATGAATGTCTTTTTCCCCCACCAATAGAGCTTTCTTTTGGTGGTATTTGATCGCCTGTGCGGTTTTTATTTTTTGCCCTATAAATAAAAAAAGACCCACAATTTTGAGAAAAAAACAATATTTTTGACTTTTTGCTATAAAACATGTACAGTACAAAAATTTAAAAAATCTAATTTTGTCATAAATTTAGGCAAAAACGTATTCTGCTACGTCTTTGCTAAAAAAAAATGTGTAAATTAATTGGTTTACGTGAAAGTTATAGCGTCTACAAATGGTGGTATATATACTGGAATTTTTTTTTTCTTACTAGTAATGGTGGCGATCAACGACTTATAGCGGGACTGCCGCAGGCATTCTGACTGACACTGAGTTGATGTCACTGACATCCCCAGTGACACCAATACAGTTATCAGTGCTAATAAAAAGCACTAACACTGTACTAATGGCACTGGGCAGGAAGGGGTTAACATGTGGGGCTATCAAAGGGTTAACTCTGTGCTGTGTGAGTGTTTTCCACTGTAAGTAGAGCCATACAAAGCAGTGTGCAGGAGCTGACAGGGGAGAGATCTGTATTGTTTATACACAGGTCTCTCCCCGTTGGAGATACTCTGTGATTGCCAGGTGCTGGTGAGTAATCACCGGCCATGACCCGGTGACTGCCAGGAATGGCGGTGCAGGTAGGGCGCCCCCTACCCGGAACTGCAAAATCACGTTCAGTACATACACTGTACGTGCGTACAGTATATATACTGTACGTGATTTTGGCGCTCTGTAGCAGTATTTCTGCTATAGAGCGGCGCAGAAGCGGTTAACGTTTGTTTTACTCTTCGGCAGGAAGGGGTTCAAAATGAAAAACAAACTGCCCACACATTAGCTACTAAGGAATAACACTGATTTTCTATTATTACATAGCACGCTTTGAAGTTATAACAAAGCAATGTCAGTTGTTACGTACAGGAATGACAGTTTATCCTTAACAAGCAATAATCATTTGTTCCTATACAGCAAGAGATGTGTATTTTTTCAGTGTGCAATTGCTGCAGGTAATTGCCAGATTCGACTCATGATGACAATACAGATAACATAGCATAATACCGTTTAAATGTATTTCCTGTTTAAAAATAACATCTAATTCATCTTCTCTATCTTTCCCCTAAATCATTCTCCTCTTTTGTGTAATTCTCAGTGAAGCATAGTGGGGACAGCTGTCTGCAACCAAAAGGCATCAAGCCTAGTGTGGGTCTCTGTGCCAGTATCCTCACTGGTTTTTATTCACCCAGTTTGCTACATCTCAGTCTGTCTTCAAGCACCTCCATATGAATATTTTTTTTCCTAGCTGAAGATTGTATAGATGCACAAAAAAATCAATAGAGGTTTAGAGAAAATCAAGACAGTCTTGTTGCAGGAAACAAGCCAAAGTCTGCTTCCCAGACTGACCATCTGGGTTTTATGGCATTAAGTCAACTGCAAAAGCAAAAGGCAGTAGAGAGGAAAGGGGCATTCATTTAGCTTTGGAAGGAATTCCTAAAACCGGTTAGGAGAATTATTGTTCAGACCATGTGGCTGGAGCTTGAATGGAAATATTATTTCTAGAAATCCTGGCTCTAAATCAGGCTAAAAATGAACATGCCTTGTGGCATGGAAGCTGTAATAGATAACAATAATTTTAAGGGAATATTAAGGAAACACTATTACTCTAAACCTAGCAGAAATTAATAATAGCACAGAAAATTTATATGAATATATATATATATATATATATATATATATATACATATATGACTCAAAATTGCTAGCCAGGCCTTAAGTGTTACCTGCCATCAGTTGCCCCACCCAACCCCTACCTTGCACCCTGATTCCGCCCCTAAACACGGCCTCATAAATTATCTCATGAAATGACACTGTTAAATGTTTTATGCAGAAAAAAGTTACAAAAATAAATATTAACAACAACTTTAACAATATTAACACAAATCAATGTAAACATAAAAGGAAGATAAGTGCTTTACATCACTAAGGAAACAAAATGGCACACAGTGCTGAGGTCAGCCGTGTGACGCATAGTGCAGGAGAGGAGTGCAGAGTGTAAGAAGGAAGGAAGGAAGGGAGGGGAGCGAGGAAGAAAGGGAGGAAAGAAGGAAGGAAGGAGAGGAAGGAATAAAGGGAGGGGAAGAAGGAAGGGAGGAAGGGAGGGAGGAAGGAAGGAAGGATGGAGGGAAGGAAGGGAGAGAGGAAGGAAAGGAAGGAAGGAAAGGAAGGGGAGCAAGGAAGGTAGGGAGGGGAGGAAGAAATGAAGGCAGGGAGGGAGGGAGGAAGGAAAGGGGGTGAGGAAGGAAAGGAAGGGAGGGAAGGAATGGAGGGAGGAAGGGAGGGAAGGAAGGGAGGGAGGGAGGGAGGGAGGGAGGGAGGGAAGGAAGGAAGGGAGGAAGGAAGGGAGGGGAGGAAGGAAGGAAGGTCAGACACGGATGGTTTCTAGCACAATGGCTCAGTCAGAAGCATCACAGGACTTTCGCCCGCCAGGGCACAGGGGGAGGCAGAGCAAATTCAGCCTCTCTCCTCTCCTATTGGTGCGGAGGATGGGAGGAGGGGCTTGGCACTGAGGAGCACACAGGGGAACCCAGAAAGAAAGGGAAATCCGATGGACGGTGGGAAGTGATCGATGAGGTGGGGGCAGTTACAAGCACCAATCTCTCTATATGGCTTTCAATGAAGCACCTGGAAGCTGTTTCTCCTTTTCTCTCCCCCCCTTTCGCTGCTTCATTATTTCAAGCAATGCAGGGAGATTGGTGCTGGTAACTGCCCCCACCGCATTGATCACCCAGACTGTCAATTTCACCTGCTGTAGTCTGCCAGCCTAATTTAGCAGGTGGGGGGTCGGGGCACACTGCGGGCAAGGCATAACATAGAGAGGGCAATTGTCCCCCTGTAGTGATGCTTCCATGTGGCAGTGACAGGAGGGAGAACCTGAAGGGAAGAGAGAGCACAACGCAAACCTCCTCTTAGCTCTCTCCTCATTTCTAGCTCAATGCTGACAGTGGCGGTAATGCTGTAAATAATCCTCTCAGCCTCCTCTCCAACCCACTGCTAATCCCGACCCTGCTCATCCCCACGTTATTTCCACTCGCCAAATGTGAGCACGCAAGTGGAAATTTTGAGGGCATATATATATATATATATATATATATATATATGTGTGTGTGTGTGTGTGATCCAAGAGGGCAGTGACTTTGTCTTAACAGCATTCCATGGGCATAGGCTGTAGTAGCATACTCTAATTTACGTGTGGAGACATATGCAGAGAGAAATATCCTGGCCTCTTAACTGGTGACAATTTTCTACACACTTGCTTCAGTGCTTCATGTTTCACACCAACTGACCGCCCTTTGTTTAATTCCATTTAGAGCTTAGAAGAAATAAGAGTCCACAACAAGTTTTTCTTAGGCTTTTTGGGCAAGTACCACCCTCTGCTTGGACAAACACATAAAAAGCAAGGGAACCAGTTTTTTGGGGTGCCGCAGTTACAGTAGTAAGACGTCTGGAGGTTTGGTCTCTGGTTTCTCCATCTAAGAATAAACATGCTGCAAGGGATGTTCCCCACTAATTGCACTTAACCACTCTTTGTGGGAATCCAGTGCAGATTTCAGTGATATGGACTTATGTTACTGCTTAAAGGACAAATGGACTCTAAAGGACTTTCCACACCTATTGAAAATATTATGACTGGGACAAGGGGAATCAGGAGAATAACTAAGGGGCACTTAGAAGATCATACACAGGAATGTGTATTGAAGACATCTTTAGGAACTATTTGTCTGTTACATTTAAACAACTTCAGTAAAAGAACTTTTCTTGTTATTTAACTTTGCCTGGTCTGAAATTACTTGAGGACAACCTTAAAGTGATGCATGCATGCTTGGTGTATCGCATAATAGAGTTTATAACAGGGGATCAGATGAGATACAGTAGATGCAGTACATACACTATATTGCCAAAAGTATTGGGACGCCTGCCTTTACACACACGTGAACTTAATGGCATCCCAGCCTTAGTCCTTAGGGTTCAATGTTGAGTTAGCCCACCCTTTGCAGCTATAACAGCTTCAACTCTTCTGGGAAAGCTGTCCACAAGGTTTAGGAGTGTGTCTATGGGAATGTTTGACCATTCTTCCAGAAGCGCATTTGTGATCTCAGGCACTGATGTCGGACGTGAAGGCCTGGCTTGCAGTCTCCACTATAATTCATCCCAAAGGTGTTCTGTTGGCTTGAGGTCAGGACTCACTCATCCATATCTTTATAGACCTTGCTTTGTGCACTGGTTAGCAGTCATGTTGGAACAGGAAGCAGCCATCCCCAAACTGTTCCCACAAAGTTGGGAGCATGGAATTGTCCATAATTTTTTGGTATGCTTACGCCTTAAGAGTTCCCTTTACTGGAACTAAGGGATCAAGCCCAACCCCTGAAAAACAACCCCACACCATAATTCCCCCTCCACCAAACTTTACACTTGGCACAATGCAGTCTGGCAAGTATCATTCTCCTGGCAACAACCAAACACAGACACGTCCATTGGAGGGCATGCTTTACACCACTGCATCCGCTGCTTTGCATTGCACTTGGTAATGTAAGGCTTCGACACAGCTGCTTGGCCAAGGAAACCCATTCCATGAAGCTCATTACATACTGGTGTGCTAATCTAAAGGCCACATGAAGTTTGGAAGTCTTTAGCTATTCACTCTGCAGACAGTTGGCGACTTCTGCGCACTGTGTGCTTCAGCATGCTCTGACCCCGCTCTGTCATTTTATGTGGCCTACCATTTCATGGCTGGTTCGTACCTGTATTCTAGGCATTTCCTAGGTGACTCCATTGCGATGCCATTTTAAGCCCATTCATTTGAGTAGGTTGAAATTGCATTGGATCACACCAAAAGTAGAGCATGCTCTACTTTTAAAAAATGCACTACACCAGATAACACCGGATATTATGTGATCCTTTTCAGGAAAATGCACTGCTTTTTGAATGCAGTGCTGGAAACGTGCATGAACACGGGTTTCTTGCACCACATTCCAAAGGGAATGAGCCCTTAGACAGTCAACCAAACAGGTGTCCTCATTGGAAGACCCCCCCCCCCCCCCATCTCCTGTTTGAGTAACACCTGAAAATCTTGGATTTCCCATCACTTTCAGTCATTACTGTGCTCAGCATAGAGGCGTAGCTAGGGGGGGTTAGGGAGGTACATATGTACCCGGGCGCCAAGGTACAGGGACACCAAAATGAGGTCACAAGATCACTACAGCGGCTGCAGCAGACATGTCATCTGATACGTCTGCCATCCACATTAAGTTATGAGAGGAGAGAGGAGCCGGCTGGGAGAGGAGGGCAGTGAGCCGGGCATGTGCCGGAGGGGACAAGTGGAGTGCCGAGCTGGGTAAGTAGTGCAATGGATGATCAAGACAGTAGGGGTGTCTACAGGGACCATATGAAGCGGGGGAGGGGTGTCATGAGGTGGCCATTAGTCCCTGGGCGCCTCTGGCTCAGCAGGACAAATGGAGAGGGTGAGGTAGTCAAGACAATACCATGAAGCAAAAAATTGTCTTGTGTTTTACAGCCTAGAATCTGAAGCAATGCACTGACAAAGAAGAATTGATTTACCAAAGACAAAGAC